CCTTTTCCCTTTTCTAACTAATCCAGGAGTCTTGCATAGTCTTTTCAAGATTTATATTTGTCCTTCCAATTCTGTGTGGTTTAAGTGCCAGAAATGATTGTTATTTTAAATTAAAGATATTTACAGATTTTGGGCCCAGGGAAAAATGTATATAATCCACAAAATAAATTATCAAAGTAGTTTGGCAGAATATTCAATGATGTGCCATGTGCTGAAACATTTTTCTAGTCTGTCACAGATGGTTCTTTATATATGTGTCTATGTTAGCATAAGTAAGAATAAAAAGAATGAAATGCAGAACTGCCCCCTTCCTTTATCCATTTTTACAGCTATGTTATGGAGCTAAACATTTGCGACCTTGCAAAATATTTGCAGTTTTGATTTGCATGTATCTCCACTATTTCTTTTTAGCAGATTCTATAAAAACATTTTTATAATAAAAGTTCTTATTGGAGATACAAAATCTTAGTTGGTCTGAAGACATTTAAGGAATATGAATGTAGTCAAAATTACCAAGCAAGGAATCCTGGTCTTTGGTGGACAACTCAATGAAAAGATTAATTCAGTGAGCTGATTCTATACTTGAGAATATTAGAAGAGAACTGATAATACTATTATCTTTATAGAAATTCATGGTAAGACTACACTTGGACTATTATGCACAGTTCTTGTCACTGTACCTTGTAAAGGAAAATATAAAGCAAAAAGGGGGCAACCAAGAATTATTAAGTGATGGAACAGTTCCCTGACAAAGAAATGTATCATACAAGGACAAAACTGCAGACCATCTTTTGGAGCTATATGCGGAGAGATTTGGAACTGACAGAAAGAAATATTTGTTTCACATAGAATATTAATAAATTGTTGCTTTTTTCTAGTAGGAGTTGTTGTTTGGATCTAGTATGGATCTTTTCCATAGAAAGTGACTACTTGGAATGTGGAGAAGGGGTTCACATTTAAAATTAGGGATATTGCTTCATCCTGTGATATGTCACCATATAATTTCAGAATTGGTGAATTGGTATGCTTTATCATACCAATAAAGCATATGCCATAGTGTCAGATTGTGCAAGTTTGAATAGGGAAGAAAAACCTTACTTCAGCCCTGGCAAGATTGAGCGGCTGCATGTATTTTACCCATCCAGGTTTGGAGATGTTTCAGTTTTAGCCCTTTATGTGGGGTTGCATTTTCCTCTTAGTGACTGTTGTGCAATTTGGACTCACAGTTATTCCTTGAGGAGCAGGTGGCAGATGAGGCTCACACAATGGCTTCATACATTCTTCTAGTGTACCAATTTTGTATCAGGAGAGTCTTATGACAATCATCATGCTTTGATCATCTAGTATGTGTATTACTGCAATTTGGTCTACATGGGGTTGCTCTTAAAATTCCACTAGGAGATGCAGCAGGCAGCAGATTGCAGTGTCACCAGCAGTTATGAACATGAAGTGTATGGCCATTATCACATTTTTGCTTTGTGAGCTGCACTAATTACTAGTAGGCTTCTGCTGAAATTCTCTCTGGTGTTCCTACACAGATTGTTCAACAGAAGACTATTGGTAATCAGTGCAGAAGCCTAGATGTCTTTTCTGGGCTCAAGGAAATACTGTACACAGGTATTGTTTTCATTTCTCATTTCCCCTTTTTCTCTAAAAATATTTACCTCAAGTCACATAATTATTGTGGTCATAAACCAGTGAAAAGCATATATTTAGCCACTCCTTCTATACATCACATACCAACTTAGCTTCAAAACTACAAATTCAAAACTATATTTTTGAGGCACATCTTATTTCTTTCTCTTAATTGTGCAAAAGATAAGATTTATCATCCAAGAACAACAAAAACGCAAATATTTCCACCATCTGTAGCATTATTATAGAAAAACATTGCAACAATTCATCTGGAGTGAAATAAGCATTTCATCCAAAGACTGAAAATAGTAATGAAGACAACATTTGCATCTGATAAATGCTTAGGTTGCTATGGACAAAATCACATCCAAAGCATGAAATATCAACCTTAACAATTAATGCAACATATTAATGCAATAGGTGGCATTTGGATCCTCAAAAATTGTCATGCATGTATCCTAATTTACAGCCCAAATGTTGGAGATGTGGAAGTTTAGATGCAACTTATTTTCATATTTGGTGGACGTGTAGGGAAATAAAAGCATTTTGGATTAAGGTTTGGTGGAATATTCAAAATATTTTTAAGAAAAAGATAAAGTTTACACCGCAGTTATTTTTATTAGGTATTATGGGAGATTTGGACGCTAAATAAATGAATCTGATGTTAAATCTTATAACAGCTGCAAGACTATTGGTAGCTCAAAACTGGAAGACGGATCGTTTGCCTACGGTAGAAGAATGGTCTCTTAAAGTGTCAAATTTAGCAAAAATGGCTAAGATTTCTGCTTATTTAAAGGATCAATCACAGGAAAGATATATTTCGGTTTGGAGAAGATGGATAGATTATATTCAGAATAAATATGGAACTGAAAAGTTCCATTTGGTGTTTGAGTAAATTTTACAGTATTGTTATTGTGAATATTTTATTATATATTTTATATTTTTATTATATTTTATTATATTGATATTATTATTATTTTGAGTAGTAATTTTGTTTAATAATTAAGTTGATTATTTGTTTATTATTGTGTTTAATCTTAAATTATCTAAATTTATTTTAAAAGGGAGTTAAAGTGTGTTATAGATTTGGTTACATAATTAGTTGGATAATGTTACTTAGATTATGATTAATATATTTGTAACCCTGTGAAAAAGCTCTGGGAAGTGGGGGGGGGTTATAGGCGTTTTGGGGGACGGGCAAAGGAGTTTATTTTGTAAATGTTATAAAACTTTTAATAAAAAAAAAGATTTATCATCCAAGAACAACAAAAACTCAAATATTTCCACCATCTGTAGCATTATTATAGAAAAACATTGCAACAATTAATCTGCAGTGAAATAAGCATTTCATCCAAAGACTGGAAATAGTAATGAAGACAACATTTGCATCTGATAAATGCTTAGGTTGCTATGGACAAAATCACATCCAAAGCATGAAACATCAACCTTAACAATTAATGCAACATATTTGTAACAAAGTAACAAATCTGATTTTACATCAAATTACAAAGAAACAGAAGTTGCCCTGAACCAACTGTTAGCAACAGATATGAAAATGAATTTTTCACATGTCTGCAAATCCTTCTAAGAAATCAATGAAATTATATCTATTCAAACTAAAGACAGAGGTGGGAAATCTATTTTTTTTAAAGAGGGTTGGTTGCAAAGTTCCCAAAACAGGGATTTCTAACCATTGGGTTTCTAACTATTGTTAGAAATTGCAACTTTTGAAACTCCTTCTGGAGAATTGCAACTTTCGAAACTCATTCAGGAGAATTGGAGAATCCAAATAATATTGGAGCTGATATGGCAGGTTTTATTTATTTTTTAAATTTATATGCTGTTTATCTCACTATCCAAAGTAACTGTGGACATAAAACAGTGATATAAAAAGCATAAATAGAAAAGAATTAAAAGCATTAAAATTAACAAAACTAAGAAAAGGTTAAAAGCAAAGGTTATACAAAAAAGAGAAATATTTTAAAATGGTACCCTACCTCCAGGAAAGGCTTTTACTAAATCATTTCTCTTTTTAAGATATAAAGGAAAACATTTGTATGCAAAGGAGATTTCAAAGGAATTTCACATAGTATAAATAGGTCTCATATTAAATAGAGATACTCTAAATCTACAAATCACCCAACCTGCTGATCTCAAAAAGCTGAGAAAGATTGAACCAAATTAGTATTTGAACATAAATCTCAGAATTATAAGTTAGACTGGGAGGTAAAAAAATAATAGCTTGTGAGATGACAAAGCATTTCTATATTGAAGCTAAGCAAACCCAGTGGACATATCCATGAAGTCACTTAGAGTTAAATCTGATTCAGAAGCTTTACTTTTTTTGTCAATCTTCTTCAAGAAGTGCTACACTAGAATGCAAGTAGCATCAATGCATTTCACCAGGCTTACTCTGAAACAGAGAGAGTATACTTAGGATCATATTCTAAACCCTAGTAAAAATGGGGTATATTTAACTGGAGATTAAATGTGTTTCACTACAGCATTTTACTTTAATTTCAAGTGCTGTTATTTATGTGTTTGCAATATATAAGTTGCTTTTCTTCTAAAAAGTGGATAACCATAAAAATGGCTATTTATAATATAATATAACCTCATAAGGAATTTTGGGCACAATGATTAGTCTTGTAAAAACAATATATAAACACAGATTTCAATCTAAGCCTCTTACAGGTCTAGTCTAATGCTTTAAATATTAATTACATTAGTTCTCTAATAAAGTAGAATAATGAGTACAATGAACATACATAGAATTTTATTAAGTACAAAATTTAGTTCCAAGAAACAGTAGATGGAAATGCATCTGATTTTGCTGGATTGGTCCTAAAGAATTTGAGCTTAACTCATATTTTTAAACAGTTTTTCTTTCTAGCCCTAAAAATTTGAATTTATAACATTGTCATTCTAATGTACTACCTAATTATTAGGGCACAACTGTTAATCTGCATCATGCAATAAAATATAAAAGTTGTAAATCTAATAAAGCATCTTTATTCAAAGGTCAGTGTTAAAAGGTTTTCATTCAGATGAATACTACTAATTGCTACTGCACATAAACAGGCACGCACACACTCACACTTATCTAAAAAACTACAAATACATTCAACAATTTAACTATTCTATCTTAGAGGAAAGGAAACAGAAAACTTCTAAGCCTTCCTTTGTCATTTCTACATAATGTAATGGGAAAAAAGAACTAAGCAGAATATTTTTTTACTAATAATACCAAATTGAACACAAAGTTCCTACAGGAAAAAAAAGATTTTCCCCAAAGGAGAATTATAATTTGTAAGAAAGTTATAATCAACAATTGTGATGTGAATCTTGTTTGCTTTTTTCCTTACCTCTATCACTGAAGTCGTCCACAAGAATAATTTCTGCTATCAGGCTATTTGGTGTCCTGTTGATAATGCTGTGTATAGTCCGCAGAAGTGAAGTCCAACCTTCGTTATGAAATGGGATAATTATACTAGTGTTTGGGAGCTTCTCCAAGTATAACTTGTCTTTACAGCTGAGGATGAAAAAAAAGAGGTACCATATAAAAATATAAAAAAAGGAGAACCACATTTTCTCATGTATCTCTATCACTTTTTCCCAGTATATATATACAGATATACAAACAGATAATGGTTTTTGTAATGGAAATCCTCCACTACATTATCAGTATTGGACATTCAAAATCATTCTAGACTGAAGAACTAGATTTTTGTTCTTGTTAAGGCTGGTTTATATTGTTTGAAATGAAAATGCCTTTTTTGGTGAAATATTTCATTTTGGATAACATACTATAAAATATAAATATGTAATATAAAAAATAACCACTACCTAAACTCTTACTTCGGAATTCTCCAAGGCTACTTTATATAGTATGGTAGGCTTCATATAATGAGCAAAAATACATAGATGCAAATAATCTATTCTTTAGTTTTCTAAAAACTCTAATATTTTTTTTTATTTATTTGTATCCTGCCTTTGTTTTACAAATAATTCAAGCACGCACACACACACACACACACACACACAAACACACACACACACGAATCAAAGAAATCTTATAGGAAATTGTTGCCCAAACAACAAAGTATGAAATGGATAAGCTGTATCACGTAAAAGTGGCTTAACTGAACTAAGAATTATATAAATGGTTGTCAGACATTTACAATTTAATTTATTTTAAATGTGGAATACTATGTTTTTTGTAATAAGTTTTTAATCATTTGATTAAAATCAGCTAGTTTTCCACATCTGTAGAAGATGTACCCATTGCCAGAAGCTTGGCTATCCAATTTGTAGAGAGGACCTTCTGTATTTTTACTTCCTTCTAAACAGGGAGAAAATTTGAAATCCAGAACACTATTTTCTGAGTATTTTCTGGAATAGGGTATGATTATTTAGACAATATCTTGCTTCACAACATCCTTGCTTCTGCCCCCAGCACAGTCTGAAGATATAACAACATATAATCATAGCCCTCTAAATGTCTTTTAAATGTACCACTATTTTATTTATTCATCATCTCACAATGTGACTCAGGGTGGCGTACAACGTTAAAAATAAAATGTACTAATTATTAATATAGTTAATATTAAAAACTTCAACATTATAAAAGGCACAAAACTAAAAGAGAATAAAAAGACATTTTACTTGGACATTGGACAGCCCTTTGTTTGAAACAATATAGGGTCTCCTGCTTGAGGAAGGGATTGTACTAGAAGATCTCCAAGGCCCCTTCCAACTTTGTTATTCTGTAGAGAATAATATAAGAGGATGGAAAGTAAAGAGAAAATGAATAAACTCTTTATTGATTAGGTCCTTTAGTTTTCTCTCAAATAACATACCATAATTCCTATTATCTTCCAATCAGCTTTCAGTTCAATGAATTGAAAACATCAGTTCATCATTTCCCCAACTTAGAGATAAATTGCCATATAGTATCTGTTATTTTAATCATTTTCAGATATCTACAATTAGGCAGGAAATTTAGAACTGTAAATCTTATTTTTTCTTGTGTGCATCTAATCTGTAGATGAGCAGAAAGTCAATTTATAAAAACAAGTAAAACAGAATTATTTAATTTCCTTTACTTATCTTCAATCATGCCCTCCTTCATATAAATGCTTCTAGTTCTGCAATGTTCATTAAATGAGCATGCAACCTCGATAGAATGGAAAGATTGTAGAACAGAAGTGAATTTGATGTGTCTATCTCTGGAAAGTTTCTGTACAGATGAATATAAAAATTGTTTTGAAGAAAGAATTACATAACCATTATGTAGCCCATACAGAAAGGAGCAGGTGAGAAAATCTCAAGTTTACCTTGAGGTTAATACAGGAAGGAATCTCTGTCAGGCTTTCAAGATTTTGCTACTATGCCCTATAATAATAGAGCTCCAGTGTTTCATGTAGTGTCTGCCTTCTAACCTGAATTGGCTGGTAGTTTATGCTGGAAGTGAGGTGTAATAAAATGCTGTTGAAGCATAGCTGTTGTTTTCTGTGATTGGCATATCCATTGTAGGTAAGGATCCTAAATTGGTTTAAGATTAGCAGATCCATCATTCAGCACAAAACTTCTTGTTCCTTTTCTCTCCTTCTGCTTGTAGTTTTTATAAAAATAAGCCTTAAAATGAAAGGGAAGGATTGGTAATCTGATGTTATATATGACCCAGGCATATAACTGTATTTTATATGAGAGATACAGATAAAACAGGAATGAGGAGTGGGGAGGAAACTGAATCACAAGTCTGCCTGAGAGAATGTCAAAATTTTGCTTGCTGGTAAAGGAATTCCATAGGCAGCAATATTGTTGAAGTCTTATATAATATAAGCCTCACTAATGCAATTCTAACAGTGCATCTAATAATAATCAGCAATATTAAATATAAAATGTGAGTGCAAGTATATCTCTAGAGAAATAAGCTTGTATGAACTGACAAGTAAAAGTGAATATTCAAGTATAAGTGGGAAAGCCAAAAAGCTATTTCATGAACTACTTAATAAGGCACCAAACGTATATGTATATTGCTAGCAACAAGATAACGTTTAGAAGCTCAATATTTTATCAGAATGTTGAAACAGAATTTTAATAATGAAGTTGAAATAATGAACAAAAAGTAGACATTTCTTTGTTTTTAAAGAATTTCCGTGTTTTTAAACAATTTGCTAATCTTGCAGGTGGTAAATGCCATCTATAAAACATTTTATATAAATTTTCCTTATAAGTAGTTGCCCTTGTTATTTTATAGTTTCTTTCCCACAGGTTTTGCCATTTTTCTAATTCTACATTGTGCCCAAATTGTTTTTGCTCAAGTTATCATTGTTTCTTTAACTTGTTCATCTTCCATCTTCAGGTTTAACAAAAATTTATAGAGTTTCTTAATCAGTTTTTCATCTGATGACAATAGTATCTGGTCAAACACTGTTTGATCTTTATAAAAACCATATGTTTTAGCATTTTTTCATATCTAATTTGCATTTGCAAGTGTGGCCATCATGATAGCTCAATGTCCTGTTCTTCCAATTCTTGTTTAGTTTGTAATTTCTCTTCAGTATTCAAAATGTCTCTGTATGTCACAAGTTTCTCATAGTTGATTAAATTTGGGTGCACAAATGCTTCCATTGTCAAGATCCATCCTGGTATTTTCATATAAATTTTCATTTTTCTCTTTTCCTATGTCAAAAGCAAGGCATTTCTTATATGGTGATTTTGAAAATATTTATGGATTTTTTTCTTCCCATACCATAGAAAAGCATGACGTCCAAGTTGTAGGTCATGTCCTTCTAGATATAGTAATCTTTTGTGTCTAAGAGTTATCCACTCTTTTAACCATGTTAATGCAGCTGCTTGATAGTATAGAACCCAGTCTGGTAGCCCAAATCCTCCATTTTGTTTCACTTCTTGTAACAATTTCAGTCTTATTCTGGCTTTTTTCCCTTGCCAGATAAATTTCAAAATCAATGCATTTAACTCATCAAAAAAAACTTTTCTCTAATTTTATAGATATTGTTTGGAACAAAGTAGTTTTGGTAAAATATTCATTTTCACCGTCACTATTCTTTCCAACATTGATAGTTGTAGATTTTTCCATCTTTCCAAATCTAATTTTATTTGTTTTAATAGTTTAAGATAATTATCTTCTTTTAACCTTGCTGTTAAGTTTATTCCCAGGTATTTAACTTTCTTAACTATCTGGAGATCTGTTTTTTCTGACAATTGGTTTTTTGTTTATCTATAAGGTTTTTGACTATCACTTTAGTCTTATCTGTGTTTATTTTCAATCCTGCTACTTCTCCAAATTCTTCAATCTTTATCAATAATTTAGGGCTTGTCTCCAAGGGATCTTCTAGTATAAATACCAAATTGTCCACAAATGCTTGTAATTTATATTTTTCATCTTTTATTTCCATGCCTTTAATTTCTGGGTCCTGTTTAACATTTCTATTCAGCACTTCCAGAGTTAAAATAAATAATAATGGAGATAGTGGATACCCTTGTCTCATGCCTTTTTTAATATTAAAATTCTCTGTAAAATCTCTATTTATAATTACTTTAGTCGTTTGTCTATGATAAATTGTTTTGATTATATTTATAAAGTTTTCTCCAAAGTCCATTTAGTTTAATTGTTGTACCATAACTTGCCAGTTAACATTATCAAAAGCTTTCTGCATATCTAAGAAAATTAATGCCATTTGTTTCCCTGGATGCATTTTGTAATATTCCAGAGTATCTAAGATCATTCTTAGGTTGTTCTTTATTTGTCTCTTTGGTAAGAATCTATTTTGGTCTGGATGTATAAATTCAATCAAAAATCTCTTCAGTCTTTCTGCTATTATTGAAGCAAAAAAATTGTAATCCACATTTAATAAAGATATTGGTCTATAATTCTTTATCTGAGTCAAATCTGAATCTTCTTTTGATATTAAAGATGCTGGATTTAACAACAAACCGGGAGATGAGAAATTGCTGTGTCATTATTGCAACAGAGACTTGGTTAAGGCCCTCTGTCCCAGATAGTGCTGTTAGCTTGATGGGTTTTTCAAAATTTTGGCTGGACAGGAGTCTTGCCCTTAGTGGCAAATCCCGGGGGGAGGGGTGTCTGTTTTTATATAAATGACAGATGGTGTAATAATGCCAAGGTGGTTTCAAGTCTGTGCTCCCCAGATGTGGAGCTTCTGACCATCAAATGCAGACCCTTCTATCTGCCTAGAGAATTCTCTGTTACCATTATCACAGCTGTGTATATCCCCCCTGATGCAAACAGAGAAGAGGCCCTGAAGGTTCTCTGTCATACCATCAGTGACTTACAAACTACTCACCCAGAGGGTGCATTTATTGCAGTGGGAGACTTTAACCAAGTGGATTTGAAAGCTGCCGTGCCACACTTCCATCAATATGTGGACTTTGCAACCAGAGGGGAAAATACACTGGATCTTGCTTATTCCAACATCAAGAAGGCTTTCAAAGCTATCCCCGCCCCCACCTGGGCTCCTCTGACCATCTCTCAGTGCTGCTTAT